CAAATATAAGGACACAAAAAGTTTGAAAGTAAAAGAATAGGAAAAGATACAGGAGATTGTAAACAACTTTATGCCAATAAATTTGACAATTTAAACAAAATGGACAGGTTCCTTGAAAAGTAACTTATCAAAATGGGCACAAGGAGAAATATAGATCTGAATAGTCCTGTATTATTATAGAAATGGAACTCCTAAACAAAAACCTTTCCACAAAGAAAACTCCTAGCCCACAATGATTTGCTAATGTATTCTTCCAAACATGTATAGAAAAAATACTACCAATCACACAAACTCTTCCAAATAATGAAAAAGAAGGAATAATTCTCAACTCCTTTTATGAGGCCAGCATATCCTGATATCAAAGCCTGGCAGGGATATTACAAAAAAGAAAAATTATATCCATAAACAAATATGCAAAAATCCTAAACAAAAGTTTAGCAAATCAAATCCAGGATATATCAAAATGGTAACACATCAGGGTGAAGTGGAGTTTATTCTAGGAATGCAAGGTTGGTTTAACATTTGAGTATCAATCAATGTAATTTACTACATAAAAAGAATGAAGAAGAAAGACCATATGATCATATAGTAGATGCAGCAAAAGCATTTGATAAAACTCAATACCCAAAGTTTTCATAACAACAAGAACAAAAATCTTAGCAAACTAGCAATGAAGTTAAATTCCCCAAACTGATGATAAATTTCTACAAAAAACTACAGGTAACATCTTATGGTGGAATATTACATGCTTTCTCTCCATGTTCAGGAAAAAGTCAAGAATGTCCATAATTACCACTTCTTTTCAACATTGTGCTGGAGGGTCTAGTCAGTGCAATAAAGCAATAAAAAGAAATAAAACATATAAAGTTTGCAAAGGAAAAATAAAAGTCATCATTCAAAGATGACATGATTAAGTAGAAAATCCAAAGCAATCTATAAAAAAGCAATTAAAAATAATAAGTGGATATTAGGTCAACATATAAAAATAAATCATATTTCTATAAACTAGAACTAGAAAATAAAATTAAAAAATAATACCGCTTACAGTAGCATCAAAAAAAGCCAAATACCTAGAAATCAAATGAAAGATGTATAAGACTTCCACACTACAAACTACAAAACATTGTGGAGAGAAATTAAAGAAGACCTAAATAAATGAAGATATACACCAGTTCATGAAAACTCAGTATAGTAAGATGTCAGTTCTCCTCCAGATTGATCTATTGATTCAGTGCAATCCTAATTATAATCTCAACAAAAATTTTGCAGAAATTAATAAATTGATTCTAATATTTATATGGAAATGCAACAGCCCTAGGATAGCTACGATAGTCATGAAGAACAAAGTTGGAGGACTGTACTATCATATACCCCACACTTACTATAAAGCTATAGTTATTAACACAGTATGGTGTTGGCCCAAATATAGACAAACAGACCAATGCAACTTAATAGAGACTATAGAAACACCTCACATATATGATTACATGGTTTAAACAAAGGCACCACTGCAATACCTGGAAAGGATGGTATTTTCAATAAAAGGTACTTGATCATTTGGTTATCCTTAAGGGAAAAAAATGGACTTTGTCCAACTTTATCATCATACACAAATACTAATTTGAGATGGATACTAGATCTCAATCTGAAATTAAAGCAATTAAGCCTCTAGAAAAAGCTTAAGGAAAATATCTTCTGACTTCAGGTTAGATAAACATTTCTTTTTCCTCCTCAGATTTATTGAGATATAATTGACATATAATATTGTGTAAGTTTCAGGTGTACAACGTGATGATTTAATATATATTGTGAAATGATTATCACAATAAGGTTAGTTAACATATCCATCACCTTACATGGTTACCATTTTGTGTGTGTGTGTGGTGAGTACTTCTAAGATCTACCCCTCTTAGCAATTTTCAAGTAAACTAGAGTATACTATAATCACCATGCTGTATATTACATTCCCAGAATTTATTCATTTTATAACTGAAAGTTTGTACCCTTTGACTATATTCACACATCCTGCCCCCTACTCTGCCCTGGCAATCATCAATCCACTCTGTTTCTATCAGTTCAGTTTTTTTTAGATTCCACATATAAATAAGATCATACAGTATTTGTCTTTCTCTGCCTGACATTTTACTTAGCATGATGCCCTTAAGATCCGTTCATGCTGTCACAAATGGTAGGATTTCCTCCTTTCCACAGCTGAATAATATTCCATAGTGTGTGTGTGTGTATATATATATGTGTGTGTATATATATATATATATACACACTTTGGTGTGTTTGTGTGTGTGTGTATACACATACTTTTTTCTTTACCCATCTATCTGTAAATGGACACTTAGGTTACTTCCATGTCTTGGCTATTGTGAATGATGCTGCCACGAACATGGGGGTGAAGCTATCTCTTCAAGATAGTGATTTCATTTCCTTAGTCTAAATACCCAGAAGTGGAATTGCTGGATCATTTGGTAGTTCTTTTTTTAATTTTTTTAGGAATGTCCATACTGCTTTCCATAGTGGCTGCACCAGGCTACATTCCCATCAACAGTGTACAAGGGTTCCCTTCTCTTCATATCCTTGCCAACACTTGTTATCTCATCTTTTTGATAATAGCCATTCTAACAGGTGTGAAGTGATACCCCGTGGTTTTGATGTGCATTTCCCTGATGATTATAATGATGTTGAGCACCTTTTTATGTACCTATTGGCCATTTGTGTATCTTCTTTGGAAAAATGTCTATTCTTTGGGAAATGTCCTTTCTTTGGAAAATGTCCTTATACTCATTTTTTAAATTAGATTATTTAGGGTTTTGCTATTGAGTTGTATGAGTTCCTCATATATTTTGCATATTAACCCTTATCAGATAGATGGTTTGCAAATATTTTCTCACATTCTATAGGCTGCCTTTTCATTTTGTTGATTGTTTCTTTTGCTATGCATAAGAGTTTTACTTTGATGTAGTCCCATTTGTTTATGTTTGCTTTTGTTGCTTGTGCTTTTGGTGGTATATCCAAAATCATTGCCAAGACTGATCTCAGACATTTTCCCTATGTTTTCTTCTAGGAATTTTATAGTTTCAGGTCTTAAATTTCAGTCTTTAATCCTTTTTGAGTTAATTTTTGGGTGGTGTTAGATAGTGGTCCAGTTATACTCTTTTGCATGTGAATATCCAGTTTTCCCAACACCACTTATTAAGGAGACCATCTTTTCTCCACTGAGTATTCTTGGCTCCCTTGTCAAATATTAGTTAACCATATATGAATGGGTTTATTACTGGGCTCTCAATTCTGTTCCATTGGCCTATGTGTCATTTCTTTATGGCAGTACCATACTGTTTTGATTACTATAGCTTTGTAACATAGTTTGAAATCAGGAAGCATGATGCCTCTAGCTTTTTTCTTATTTCTCAAGAAATGAGATAATCTTCTTTCTCAAAATTGTTTTGGCTATCTAAGGTCTTTGTAGTTCTATACAAATTTTAGGATTGTTTTTTCTATTTCTGAAAAAAAAATCCTTTGGAATCTTGACAGAAATTGCTTGGAATCTATAGATAGCTTTGTGTAGTATGGACATTGTTTATCAATATTAATTCTTCCAATCCATGAAGATGGGATATCTTTCCATTTATTTGTGTCTTCTCCAATTTCTTTAATCAGTGTTTTAAAGTTTTCAGTGTACAGATCTTTCACCTCCTTGGTTAAATTTATTCCTAATTATTTCATTGTTTTTGATGCTATTGAAAATGGAATTGTTTTATTTCTTTTTCAGGTAGTTCATTGTTATTGCCCTGAAGTCAGGTGCATAAACATTTACAATTGTTATATCTTCTTGATGAACTGACCTTTTTATCATTACCTAATGACCTTCCTTGTCTCTTGTGACTATTTTTACCTTAAATTCTGAATGAGATAATCTGCTCATAAACTCCCTTATCTCTGTTATGGAGTAACTTTTTGTATATTGTCATTTCAGTGTGTTAAAATACACACACACACACACACACACACGTTTACTTATATACATGGCTTCCCTATTAAAGCTTCTTAAGGGCAAGGATGTATTGTAAAATGCTTAGCACAGTGCTAGGAATATAACAGGTATTCAAAGGTATGTGGCTCCTCGGATTTGGACGTGGAATAAAAGAAGTTACAAATGACAGAAAAGCTTAAGGCTAGATGACAAGTATGCTAATAGAAACCATCAAAGGAATAGTAGATTTTAAAATAAAACTATTATTTTAGCATTGGAAATCAAGACTTACGCCCTAGCATAGGTTTTATGGCTTTGATAGAGGCAAAAGAGGCAAACAATGGAAGCTATTTTGCAAGACTTGATTAACCAATACAGATGCATTCTTGTGTGCTAGAAACAAAGCCATACCACTTCACACAAAATTAGGAGGCACAGACAGAGTGTTGCTGCTATCAGAGAGAAAGGAGTGAAGTCATTTTAGCTCTTGGCTTTCGCCCAACTAGGTAAATCAACTTGAAATATTCCTTACACCAATGAGACCAGCTCTACCTATACTAGAGCATGATAAGTAAGTACTTATCCAGCAGTATTACATTAATCCAGATTTAGTGTATCATCTTCAAGAGTAGGTACTCAATAAATGTTTAATGAGTGAGTGTATCCCTAACACCTTCTCACAAACCTGCTCCCTGAGTCAAGAAAAAAGTTTTAGAGGTGAGAGTCAAATGACCCTATTAGTAATACTTTCATTGATTGTAACCATTATCAAAGTGCCTGGCCCTGATGAGGAACTCAGTAAACACTTGTGAGGCTAATGAGGCTAATGAGATCATTAATTAATGTTAACTTTTTGAACCTTTAAAAAAACGTGTGCTTCTAAAACAAAAGGTGGTACACAAATTTGTAAATATACTAAAAACTATTGAATTGTACACTTTCAACAGGTGAACCATATGATATATAAATTATATCTTAATAAAGCTGCAAAAAAAAAAAAAGAAAGAAAGAAGCTCACAAGGAAACTTTTCCAGGCCTTCTGAATGACTCTGGCAGCTTTATCCCTCTTTGTAAATTCTGATTCCTGTTTCCAAGGCATTTGAAAGTCCTAAAATAAGCAAAAAGTGTATATTTAAAGTTACTTTATATACTCCATTATGAAACTTACTAGAACTCAATGAAAATTAAGTAGAAAGTTGTATAAAAAAATAATGAAAATGAGATTTGGTATCAAAAGAATCATAATAAAAATAAAAATTGTTACCTACCATTGATTGCCTAATATGTTCCAATTTGTTTCTTTTTTCTAATTCAAACAACAATGCTGCATGACAAATTTTACTAATATGCTTGTATTAGAGATTAGAAGACTAAGCTTCAAAACTTAAGGTTAAATAGTGATTAACTAAGCCAGTATTGAATCCATGTCTTTGTCTCAAAAATTCATGACCTTTCCCTACCCTATTCAATGACTTCAAATAAGGTTTTCTTAATCAACATACACAGAGACAGAGTTTCATCCATAAATTTACCCAGGGCCCTAACACAGATTTAGAGATGATTATAGATTTTTTTCTTTCTTTGTAACTCTTAAATGTGCTGACTACTCCATAAATCATGCATTAAATTGTAAAAAAAAAAAAATGAGATGAAGCTTGACTATTAAGAAGCAAAACAAAATCACTAATTATAATCATAATTTTTATTAATAATATGAAGAAATTAGTAACAGGGAAGTCAGAAAGCCATTATAGTTATGAGTTCTTTAAAAAGTTGCAGTAGACAGGGAGGGTTCTGAGAAAATAGTGGAGTAGGAATCACCAGAAATCTGTCTCCCCATGTAGACAACTATTGCACTGGCAGAATCCAATTTAACCATTTTGGAACTCTGGAGTCTATTGAAGGCTTGCAACTTCCAGAAGAAGGCTTGGAGAGTAAATTTTGGTCAATTTAGCTCTTAGCCCAATAGCAGCTACCCATTCCCCCATCCCAGCCCCGGTGGCAGGCAGCTGTGCACATGTTCTAGGAACAGATTGCACACAGCTTGTGGGAGCCAGGGTGGGGGAAAAATGGCTCTGACCTCCAAATATAGGAGATCTGTGCTCTGATTATTGATTGCTATTTCTGATCACAGAGATGCACACAAACAGGAGAGCAGCTATTGTTGTTGCACCTCCCCACATTGTTGCAAGCCTCTGCCTCTGGCTGAAGTGACATCCAGGGTGTTTAAAGAGCTAGTGCCCTTTTCCTCCCCTCTACATTGTTCTTTTTTCCCCCTTTGGGAGCCAGACACTCAAGACTAGGAAATTCAAAAACAACTACACATCAAAGAAAATTAGAAATTGACCAGGCTTGCCCAGGGAAAGGCACAGGTTCAGAAAAGACCTTAAATTTTCAGGCCAATTCTTGTAGGCTATAGAAATAGCCTACAACAATCAAAAAAACAATAAGAAAAAAACAACAGTAAATGCTGGGAAAGGGGAAGAATCTGATTTCCAGAGTTACCACATTATTAAATTCTAATGTTCTGTTTTCAACAAAAAATCACAAGGCATACAGAGAAACACAAAAATATGGCCCATTCAAAGCAAAAAAATAAATCAACATTAACTGACCCCGAAAAAGACCTGAGGGCAGATCTACTAGACGAAGACTTTAAAGCAATTGTCTCAAACATGTTCAAAGAGCTAAATGAAGATGTGGAGAAATTCAAGAAAATGATGTATGCACAAAATGGAAATATCAATAAAGAGACAGAAAACCTAAGAAGAAACCAAATAGAATTCTGAAGCTGAAAAGTAGAATAACTGAAATGAAAAATTCATTAGAGGGATTCAAAGGCAGAGTTGAGTAGGCAGAAGAATCAGCAAACTTCAAGATAGAACAATAGAAATTGTCGAGTCTGGAGAACAGAAAGAAAAAAGAGATTGAAGAAAAATGAACAGAGCCTAAGAGACCTGTAGTACACCAGCAAGCAAACCAACATACAGATTGTGCAAGTCCCAGAAGGAGAAGAGAGAGAGAAAGAGGCAGAAAGAATATCTCAAGAAATAATGGCTGAAAACTTCTCAAATTTGATGAAAGATATGAATACAAACATCCAAGAAGCTCAACAAACTCCAAGTAAGATGAACTCAAAGATCCAAGCCAAGACACATAATTAAACTTTCAAAAGCCGAAGATAGAGACTCTTGAAAGCAGTAAGAGAAAAGTGATTCATCACATATAATGAATTCTTAATACGTTTATCAACAGATTTCTCATCAGAAACTTTGGAGGCCAGAAGGCAGAGGGCTGATATATTCAAATTGCTCAAAGAAGAAAACTGTCAAGCAAGAATCCTATATCCAGCAAAACTATCTTTCAAGAATGAGGGAGAAATTAAGATATCCCCAGACAAAAACTGCAGGAGTTCGTTACCACTAGACTTGTTCTGCAAGAAATGCCCAAGGGAGTCCTGCAGGGTAAAATAAAAAGACACTTGACAATAACTCTAAGCTGTATGAAGAAATAAAGATTTCAATAAAGGTAAATACACTAGCAATTACAAAAGCCAATATTATTGTAACAATGGTTTGTAACTCTATTTTTTTGCTTTCTATATGATTTAAGAGAATAATATATTTTTTAAAAATTATTAGTCTAAAACTAGTATTATTGTAACTTTAGCTTGTAATTCCGTATGATATTTTCTATACAATTTAAGAGACAAAAGCATTTAAAAGAATTATTAGGTTATGTTTTTGGGTACACAATGTAAAAAGATGTAATTTTGTGACATCAACAATCAAAAGGAGTTGGGATAGAGCTGTAAAGGAGAGTTCTTGTAGGTTGTTGAAGTTAAGTTGGTATAATTTCACATTGGAGTGTTATAACTTTAGGATATTAAATGTAATCCCCATGGTAACCACAAAGGAAATAAGAAAAGGATTTAAATGTTTCACTATAAAAAATCAACTAAACACAAGAGAAGATAGTAACGCAGAAAATAATGGACAAAAAAGCTATAAGGCATATAGAAAACAAATAGCAAAATGAGAGAAGTAAGGCCCTCTTTATCAGTAATTACTTTAAAGATTTTATTTATTTATTTTTTCCCCCCAAAGCCCCAGTAGATAGTTGTGTGTTATAGCTGCACATCCTTCTAGTTGCTGTATGTGGGACGCGGCCTCAGCATGGCCGGAGAAGCAGCGCGTCGGTGCGAGCCCGGGATCCGAACCCGGGTTGCCAGCAGTGGAGCGCGCTCACTTAACCACCAAGCCACGGGGCCGGCCCAATCAGTAATTACTTTAAATGTAAATGGTTTAAACTCTCCAATCAAAATACAGGGATTGGTAGAATGGATAAAAACACAAGATCCAACTATATGCTGTCTACAATAGACTCACTTTAGATCCAAAGACACAAATATATTGAAAGTGAAAGGATGGAAAAAGATATTCCATGCAAATAGTAATCAAAAGAGAGGAGGGGTGGCTATCTTATATCAGACAAAATAGACTTTAAATCAAAAAAGTTTATAAGATACAAAGAAGGACATTATATATTAACAAAAGGCTCAACAGAGCATGAAGATATAACAGTTGCAAACAAACATTTATGCATCTAATAACAGACCAGCAAAATATACGAAGCAAAAACTGACAGAATTGAAGGGAGAAATAGACATATATATATATATATGCCATAGACATATATAGCCCTACTATAATAGCTGGAGACTTCAATATCCCACTCTTCATAATGGATAAGACAACCAGACAGAAGGTAAATAAGGAAACAGAGGACTTGAATAATACAATAAATCAACTCAATCTAACAGACATATACAGAACACTCTATCAAAGAACAGCAGCATTCACATTCTTCTCAAGTGCACATGGGACATTTTCCAAGATAGACTATATTATAGGCCACAAATTAAGTCTCAACATATTTTAAGAGATAGATATCATACAAAGTATCTTCTCCAAGCACAATGAGATGAAGCTGGAAATCAAGAACAGAGGCAAAACTGAAAATTTTACAAATTTGTAAAAATTAAACAACATACTCTTAAATAACTAATGGATCAAAGAAGAAATCACCTGGGAAATTAGAGAATACTTAGAGATAAACAGAAACTAAAACACAACATTCCAAAACTTATGGGATGCAGGAAAAGCAGTGTTAAGAGGAAAACTTATAGCTATATATACTTACATTAAAAAACAAGAAAGATCTCAACTCAACAACCTAACTTTACAACTTAAGGAAATAGTAAAAGGAGAAAAAACTAAACCCAAAGCTAGCAGAAGGAAGGAGATTAGAGCAGAGATAAAAGAAATAGAGAACAGAAAAACAATAGAGTAAATCAATGAAATCAAAGCTGATTCTTTGAAAAGATCTACAAAATTGGCAAACCTTTAGCTAGATGGACTAAGAAAAAAATTACTAAAATCATAAATGAAAGTAGGTCATTACTACTGATTCTAAAGAAATAAAAAGGATTACAAGAGAGTACTATGAACAACTATACACCAACAAATTTAATAACCTAGATAAAACTGAAAAATTCCTAGAAACACAAAATCTACCAAGACTAAATCACAAGGAAATAGAACATCTGAATAAACCTGTAACTAGTAAGAGAATGAAACAGCAATCAAAAATCTCCCAACAAATAAAAGCCCTGGACCTGATGGCTTCACTGGTTAACTCTACCAAACATCAAAAGAACTAATACCAATCCTTCTCAAACTATTTCAAAAATTGAAGAGAGGGGAACACATCCTGACTCATTCTGAGGCCAGCATTACCCCATACCAAAACCAGACAAAGACACTACAAGAAAAGAAAACTACAGACCAATATTCCTACGAACATCAATGCAAAAATCCTCAACAAAATACTACCAAACCAAGTTCAGCAGCATATTAAAAGGATTATACACCATGAACAAACGGGATTTATCCCTGGAATGCAAAGATGATTCAATATACAAATATCAATCAATGTAATACATAAGATTAACAGAAAAAAAAACCATGCACAATCATCTCAATTGATGCAGAAAAAGTACTTGACAAAATTGAACACTCTTTCATGATAAAAACACTCAATAA